ATAGTGGGTGTACCCATCATATGACCTCAAATTTGGCCATTTTCAAGACACTTGACAGATCCTATTTTTCAATGGTTAGACTTGGAAATGGAGAATTTGTTGAGGTGAAAGGAAAATGGACAGTTATAATTAATACACCAATTGGTATCAGGTACATTTGTGATGTTTTATATGTGCCTTACTTGAGCCAAAATTTGATTAGTGTTGGTTAGCTATTAGAGTATGGTTATTTAGTGCATTTTCATGATGAATGTGTTGATGTGGTTGATAAACTTGGTGTAAAATTATTTATTGCTGGTATGAATCATAGAAAATTTTCTGTTAATTGGAGTCAAATTGAAATTAAAGCATGCACTACTATTGTGGATGAATCTGAGAAATGGCATGGGAGGTTTGATGGTGTATGTGGTGTAAGTCAAAAGGAAAATTTTGGTAAGTTTTCTTTTGCAGTGAACAAGGCTTTGAGAGCTACAAGAAAGCTCCATTTTGTTCATTCTGTTTTTTGTGGTCTAGAGCAAATCTCATCAATAAATGGTAGCAAAATTTCCTTATTTTTTATTGATGATTTCAGTGGAATATATGTGCTGGGTTTATTTCTTGAAGCACGTATTCAAAGTTTTTGCTATGTTTGAGGAGCTTTAAGGCTTGCTAAAAAGGAGAAGGAGGTGCAGATTCTATATTGCAGCTCAGAAGATCAGTTAGCAAACTTTTTCACCAAACCTTTGCCGAAGAATAGGTTTGAAGAATTTAGAGACCAGCTCAGCATTTGCAGCTTTGTTGCCAAGGAGGAAGTTGTTGCAACTATTCCAGATAAGCATGCCACCAAAGCTGCTATGTTGCTGTCCAGTTGAGTCTATTTTTTTGTTATTTGAATTTAATTTAGTTTGTTTGTAGTTTGAATTAGTTTGTTACAGTTTGTTTTAAGTGTTTTTAAGTTTATAGCAGTTTGTTTGTAGTGGATAACTGTTGAGGTAGCTTTGTAACTACCCTTATATATATATATTTAAGTATTTTGCATATGAAAATTGTGTTGGTTCTGCACTCAATCTCTCCTTTCTTAGTTTCATTTCCTTCAGTTTGCAACAAGGCCTCCTTGACAGCAGTGCAGACATCAAAAAGAAGCCTAATAGATCCATTCAGCAGCTCATCAACATATTTGCTTTGCTGCTTCTGGCCTAAAGCTTGTTGGTTGAGGGGCAGTAGTGTTGAATGAAGTTAAGATTTTTGTAGTTTTCAAAGTATTGTGCCATCACATGCTGCAACAATTCAGTATCTGATTTTTTGATGTAATTTGACCTTTGGTTAGATAGCTTTTTGTTAACCTTCTGTTAGTATAAACACTTGAGTAGGGGGCTAAAATTAAGCTACTTGTAATTTGGTAAACTACTCTTCCTCTTTCCCCAAAACTAGTGTTTATTTTGTATAAAAGCATAAATCAATGACCATTTTTGTGTTTTGATCTTTTTGCTCTCTGTTTTTTCTCTCCATTTTTCCTTTTGAGCAAAAACATTACATGGTATCAGAGCCTCTTCTGATCCTTGAGAGGCTGTGAGGGAGTGAAAATTGAGAGTGAGTGACACTCAAACAAAACCCAAACACCTTGAATCCCAAAAATGGAATCTGGTTCTAATTTCACAACAAAAACACCAGTTTTCAATGGTCATAACTACCCAGTTTGGTCAGTCAAAATGAAGGCTTATCTAAGGGCCTTCAACCTCTGGGAAGTGGTGGAAACCGACCAGCAACCACCACCTTTAAGGCAGAATCCCACCTTGGCTCAAATAAAGCAGCATACTGAAGAAGTTACGAAAAGGTATAAAGCCTTGACTTGTATTCATTCTGTAGTAACTGATGAGATTTTCGACAGAATTATGCGCTGTGAAACAGCCAAATAAGCCTGGGACTTGTTGAAGGTAGAGTTTCAGGGTGACAACAAGGGAATTTAGATGTAAGTTTTGAATCTGAAAAGGGAATTTGTTGTTTTGAGGATGAATGAGTCTGAAACTATCAAAGAGTTTTCAGATAGAATAATGAAGATTGTGAATCGAATCAAATTATTGGGTGATGAAGAACTCTTTGGTAAGAAGGTTGTTAAAAAGGTGTTGGTTAGTTTGCCAGAAAAATTTGAGCTCAAGATTTCCTTTTTGGAAGACTCCAAGGATCTTTCCAAAATTCCCTTAACTGAACTTATTAACTCTTTACAAGCTGTTGAACAGAGAAAAGCTTTAAGGTCCAAAAGCAATGTGGAAGGTGCTCTCTTGGCTACCGAAAAGGAAAGAAGCAATTTTTTGATAAGAAATGGAAAGAAAGGAAGGAGTTTCAAAAAGATTTCAAGGGCGATAGATACAAGGGTAAAAAGGAGTCATTTCCTCCTTGTATTCACTGCAAAAAGACAACTCACACAGAAAATTTTTGCTGGTTTAGGCCTGGTGTTCAGTGCATGTCTTGTAAGCAATTCGGTCATGTTGAAAAGGTCTGCAAATCAAAAGCAGACTCTACATCACAAGCTCAGATTGCAGAGAAACTTGATCAATAGGAGGAGAAGTTATTTGTGGCCACTAAAGTGGAAGCTTGCTGTGCTGTGAATCTCAGTTGTAATGTTTGGTTGATAGACAGTGGATGTACTCACCATATGACTCCAAATGAAAGCTGCTTCAAAAGCCTTGACAAGAGTTTTACCTCTAAAGTCAGATTGGGTAATGGAGCGCTAGTAGAAGTCAAGGGAAGGAGAGTAGCAACTGTTGATACACCAACAGGTATCAAGCTTATTTATGATGTTATATTTATTCCTGAGATTAGCTACAGCCTTATTAGTGTTACTCAGCTTGTTGAAAACAAATACTCTTTGCACTTTCATGACAAGCTATGTGATGTATTTGATGAATTTGGAAATTTATTGTTATCTGTTAAAATGCTTGATAGGAGTTTTCCTATTGAATGGAAAGAAACTCAAATAAAGGCATGCGTGAGTATTGTTGATAATTCTTGTGTCTGGCATAAGAGGTTTGGTCACTCTAGTTGTCAATCTTTGCTATTCATGGCAAAAAAGAGCATGGTTTCTGGTATGCCTTTTGTTCATGTTGATAAACATGTTTGTAAAGTGTGTCAGCTTGGTAAGCAATTGCAATTGCCTTTTCCACTTGGTCAAGCTCATAAAGCTTTTATGAAGTTGCAGCTAGTT